AGAACTCGGTCGTCAACGATTCGAACCGATCTGTGCTGGATGCGGTCAAGTGGAAGGAGCTGGCACTAGGGAGCCCCTTGAAACTGAGGAGATACGACAAAGGGTTCTTTTAACGGTAAATGCGTAAACTTGTGTCTTCTGGGGATTCAACTGGACTAGATTTAGTCGCCCCCAGTCCGAGACTTTATTCAACAAAGTCTCGACTTCAGACTCAGGTTTATTCCGGTACTCCCCGACGTTTTCCCGAGAAATATTGGCACAGTCGGTGTATAACGCATCACCAGTGCTATCCGTCTGCATGGCAATAAATGTTACCAGTTTGCAACATATCATTGATATGCAGAAGAAACAGCGTTGGTGACAGCACGCAACCTTGTGGAACACCAGCGTTAATGGGCTTGTAATCGGATCATGCACCGTCTACTACGCCTTGATGCTCCGATCTGCAAGAAAACTGGTGATCCAATTGCACAATTTCTCGGGAAGCTGAAGACTGAAGCACGTAAGAAGATATACTTCTTTAGCGTAACAAAACAAAATATTATATATGATCCTGTTGACAATCACTTGATGGCACCGTGGCGCAGTGGCTTAGCAATGAGTTGCAGCTCTGAGAGCCGCGGCCTCGAATCCCGCACAGAACAAGTATTGAAACAAACGGAACACGGAACAAGATTGAAGGAAGAAGCGCTTTGTGCCAAACCGGATCGAAGGCCCTCGCTATGTCCAAACTAACTGCCAACGCCTCCCCATTAGACTCTACTGCCTCCGCCCATTTATAAATTAGGTAACCCAGAAGATCACAAGCCAGAAACCGTACTGACAGTCACTAATCAGGTGGTGATCCTCAATGTACCGCATGAACTGGCAGTTAATAATAGTTTCTATTACTTTGGAGAACAAGGAGGTGATAGCGATAGGTTGGACGGATCTGAGTGGTCGCCTTTTTTAGGAATCGAGTGCACCAAATCTGTCTTCCATGAGTTCGGGACTACGCCTAGAGAGTAGGAGTACCGGAAAAGATACGTCAAAACCGGTGCCAACTCCGGAGCACATGTCTTCAGCACAATAGGTGGGACTCCATCAGGCCCACTCGACTTGTTGATATCCAGGGCGAGGAGTGGTTTGCTCTCCGAGCGCTGTGTAAACAGCATTTCCTGCATGGAGCACCCACACCGCGGGATGGTCGGTGTTGTTTTCCCCCCATCATCAAGAGTTGAGTTGGAAGCAAATAGAGAGCCTAGCAGATCGGCTTTCTCCTTTGTGGCGTGGGCCAGTGAGTCGTCCACCTTGTGCAGAGATGGCTGACAGAAACTACCTTGGACGGCCTTGGCGAGAGAGTAGAGTGTTCCCGAAGGGAGGTAAACTAGTTTCTCGCCAATTCTGCCGATGTGCTCAGACATTGCCTTAGCAATGACACTTTTGAAGGACCAGGAGGCGGAATTACACTTCTTTTTAAGAGCGCTGGTGTTTATATCCCAGGACGTTGATGCGTCAGCCCAGGCCAGGTAGCACTCCTGCTTATAGCGTGATGCAATTTTACAGTGAGTGACTAAACCATGGCTGAGTTCTGCCTCCGATAGGCACCACAGATGATGGAATAAATAATTCCATTCCCTGAATTACCACATCAGCGACGGAATCAGCAATAACGTTGGGATCATCCAGCGAGAAGCAAGCCCACCCCCAAGTGTAGGGTGCAAAAAAAGACCGCATCCCGTCCCAATCGGCTGACCTATAGTGCCAAACACGGCGACAAGCTGCAGATCGCAACTGCGATGGGAGCGTGAGTGGCACCGTACTTCGGATCAAATAATGGTCCGAAGAACCAAGAGGGGCATCGACGGAGACAGGATATCCGTCCGGGTGAGAGGTCAGCAGAAGGCCCATCAGGAGAGGTACATGATCCTCCACATCTGGAATCCGTGTAGGCGAAGTAACCATTTGTGTCAGACTATATGCCAAGGCAAAGTCAGTGCCATGTTAAGGGGGGAAGCGGGCCTCCAGCCACCTGCACTCGCCACGCGAAATAAAAACAAAATAAACTTGAACTATTCCGTGAGGTCGTGTTACCAACCCGATTCGAGCCGGCTCATCCGTGCGACAGCAAAAGCTGCCGCGTGGCTCTACCACTGTTAAATCCGAATACCTACATTTAAAACCCGATAGAAACATCGGTTTCAGCGTTAGCCATCTTCATTCATAATAGGGATTATCATAAAAATATATATCTGGATAGATAAAATTCCTCTTAGAAGAACGGTCAACGGTAAAACGAGGGTTGATCCGTGTCGTGAAGGAATTTTACACGCATAAATTGCACATAGGCAAACATCTAGACCTGGAACAATTACCTATTTGTAGGCTGTATAATGTAGTCAATGAATCACCGTCTAGTGGCGGTGTAAGAATTTTCACTACCCCATATCTTCCCGTGGGTGTCGTAACAGGCAACAGAGGGAAACTGAGGCGTGAGATGAGCAGCAGCATCTTTCTGCAATATTACAATAAAAAAAAACTGCGGATGCCAACCCGCTTAAAAAGCGTGGCTACTATGGCAAACATCTGCCGATGAGAAACGACACAAAAAGACGTCCCCCAGGCCCAGGCGGGCCCGCTATTCCTGGCTTCAGTGGCAACCAAAGTAACGGCAAGTCAGGGGGTGCTAATAATCTCCGCTGGGGGTTCAATTGCCACCTAACACAAATCGACCTGGGAACGTTCAACACACGCACCCTGAGGACCGACGAAAATATCCTGGAGCTGAAGATAAGCAAGTTGTGTTGGGATATTATAGGATTATCTGAGGTCGTGAAGAGAGGGAAAGACACAGTAATCCTCGAATCCGGCAACTTGTTCTATCACCGGGAGGGCGTCCATCTGTTCCAAAGAGATGTCGGATTAATCGTCCACTATTCTCTCGTTAACAACGTTATAAAAATTGGGTGTTTCGACGAAGGTAGTGTACCTTAAACTCAAAATCACCAAAAGGTATTGGTTCAAGGTGGTACAGGTTTACGCACCAATCTCGGCATATCCCGATAAGGAGTTGGGGAAAATGTATGAGGATATCTCTAAAGCCATGTATTCCTCCAAAACCCTCCATGCGGTGTTAATGGGAGACTCCAACGCAAAACTAGGCACAAGAGAGAACGGTGAGCTGAAGGTAGGAAAATTCGGGATAGGGTAACGAAACCCTAGGGGCTAGCAGCTTGCCGACTTCATGAAGAAAGCTTTTTTATGATGAACTCTTTCTTCTAGTTGCGGCTCTACAGAAAGTGGACCTGCTCGAACCCCGATGTTTCGACAAAAATTGAGATCGACTTCACTATGACGGCAACTGTACAGTGATACGAGTATGCGATCACAGATTGATGAGAGGTACAATGAACATAAACGTTGAATTAGTAAGGTCACTTCTACCTTTTGTTTATTTCCTTTCCTCCATTCATACCTTTATTTAAATCTGGTAGTACATTAGACCCCGCCAATTTTAGACCAATTTCTGTACTACCAACATTTAGTAAAATTTTTTAAAAAATAATTTTAGATCAGATGTTAAGTTTCTTTAATATTAATAAATTAGTTAGTTAATTAAAAAAAAACAATTCGGTTTTACAAGGGGTCGCTCGACAACTGACGCTGGAGTTGAGCTTATTAAACATATTTTTTGTACATGGGAGAATTCAGAGGATGCTTTGGGTATATTTTGTGACCTTTCCAAAGCCTTCGACTGCGTTCAGCATGAGACATTAATCAGGAAGCTACAGTACTATGGTGTCAAGAACACAGCGCTTAAACTTTAATTAAACTTTTTTTTATTATTTCATATTTAAGTAATAGAATGCAGAAAGTTATTATCAATGGTAAAAGTTCTTCTGGGTCACGTGTACTAATAGGTGTCCCTCAGGACTCGATTCTCGGCCCATTCCTATTTCTAGTGTATATTAATGACTTACCTTCTCTTATAGGGGATAATCATGATATAGTGTTATTTGCTGATGATACTTCCTTGATTTTTAAACTTAAACGTCAATCATTTAAATGTGACGAAGTGAAAAATGCTATATCAAAATTAGTGCATTGGTTTAACGTTAATAATCTGCATTTGAACGGAAATAAAACTAATTGTGTTAAATTTACAACAACGAATGTTAAAAATCTGAATACCAATGTGTTCTTAAATGGAGAGGAATTGAGCCCTGTTGTATCCACTGTTTTTCTTGGCATCACTCTTGACGCAAAGCTCCAGTGGGGCCCCCATGTATCCAAATTAGCAAGCAGACTAAGTTCTGCAGCCTATGCTGTAAAAAAGATTAGAGGTCTCACTAGTGTCGAGACAGCTAGATTAGTTTATTTTAGTTATTTCCATAGCATAATGTCTTATGGGATTTTGCTATGGGGAAATGCAGCTGATTCAGAAACTATTTTTGTTTTACAGAAGAGGGCCATTAGAGCTATTTACAATCTAAAACCGAGAGAGTCTCTTAGAGATAAATTTAAAGAAATTAATATATTAACTTTGGCCTCTCAGTATATTTACGAAAATTTAATGTATGTTCACAAAAACAAAGATAATTTTAGTAAAAAAAGTGATATACATTCTGTAAACACTAGGAACAAACACAAGCTAGTGATGCCAGTTTCTCGACTCCACAGAGTCAGTAATTCATTCTTGGGGCAATGTATACGCTATTACAACAAGGTCCCGGAAAGTGTACAGGTTCTCTCTATTACCAAGTTTAAATGTTTTATTAAGCTGAAACTGTATAAAAAGGGTTATTATAGTATAAATGAATACATGGTTGAAGTCCAAGCAGTTTCTAAAATAAAATTTGTAAATAGTTCGTAATCATTTATATTGTAAAATTTATTTTAAAAAAATGTCCCGCTGGGTTTCTTGCTGGTTCTTCCCAGGACAGAAGTTTTTTTTCGAACCAATGGTAAAGTAAAAAATGACTTTCAATAAGTCTATTAGTCAAGAATTAGCACCTTTAGAGATGCCAAAACCAAATAAGGAAAAATGGATAAACATTGCTGAGAAATTTTACAAAGAAGCGAACTTTCCTAATTGCGTTGGAGCCATTGACGGCAAACATATTAGAATTGTTTGCCCTCCGAATGCTGGATCTAAATATTATAATTATAAAAAATATCATTCGATTATTTTATTGGCAGTGGTTGACGCAGACTACTGTTTTACATTCATTGACAGTGGTGCTCCAGGTCGAGAAAGTGACTCTTCAATTTTTAAAAGTTCAAATTTTGGGCAAAAGTTAACTCGTTCTCAATTGGATTTACCGGAGCCAATTCATCTTCCTAACAATATAGGAAATCCTCGTGTGCCTTTTGTATTTGTAGGTGATGCTGCATTCGGTTTAAATAAAAATGTTATGAGACCATTTTCTTTACGAAACATAGACACGCCTAAGAAAACTTTTAACTATAGACTGTCTAGAGCCCGCCGCTTTGTGGAATGTGCATTTGGTATCCTTAGTAACAAGTCGCGAATTTTTCATTCAAGCATTATAATCAATCCACAGACTGCAAAATACATTATAAAAGCTGCTTGTGTATTACACAATTTCGTAAGACGCAGAGATGGTTATCAATTTGAAGATACGATTCGATGTGATATGGAAGAATTCGACGAAGTCCAGGCAGTTGGAGGCCGATCTAGTGGCATTTCTGTAAGAGATTCGTTTGTTCAATATTTCAATGGCCCTGGAGCGGTTCCTTGGCAAAACAGAATGATACATTAAATTAAGAAATAAAATAATAAGTAAACTTACCAGCTTTGTTTTTTCTTCTGGGCCTAAATCAGCCCAATGAGCAACCACTTCCTGTCCTATCTCCATCCATAACTTCGCTTTTAATTCCCGATTGGCGTATTCCTTCTTAAAAAAAATTACACATGTGATCTATATTGAATAAAAAATTATTCTATTCTATTCTATTCTATTCTAATGACGTTAATGCTCCGTCTCCCTCGCGTTCTAATCCTAAGCGCCGAAACTTTCAGCTTGAGTTACAATTTCAGTGCCTAGACTGCTAAAGTGGACGATATGAATGACAAGCTCGTGGAAACTGTCCATGTGGTCGGAGCTAAGTGCTGCAAGACCCGTCGCAAAAGAACCCAATATCTCTCCGAACATACTCTTAATCTCATGGATCTTAGACGGTAAATGAAAACGGCGACGAGGTTCGCCACCCGTCACGCTCTTTCTACCGGAAGTGCGAAAAGTTGATTGCGGAAGCCCGTCTGGCTACGCTGAATGTATGTGGAGCAATGAATGATAAGATGGATGAAGTATGCGAAAGTTTGATAGAGAAATAGAAGTGTTATGTGTGAATGAGACGAGACTAAAGGGAAAGGATGCCACTGAACATGGCATATATACCGCTTATTAGTCTGATGTAAATGAGACCGAGCGGGCATGCCAGGGAGTCGGTATCATCCTTTCTGAAAGAATGGGTTAATGTGTGAAAGAGTATGAATGGGTAAGCCCGAGACTGCTATGAATATATACTATTTATATTGTATTACTGAACATTGGTTGAAATATTATAACTTCATATTTAATTTCAGTTATCACCAGGTGGTCAATTCGGTCAATAGAGATACTAAATTACGAGGTGGCTCCTTAGTACTAGCTAACAAATCCTTATCATGTAAAAAACGTAAAGACACGTTTTATACGTGGTAGAGTCATGCTGCAGCTATATTAGTGGTATAGTTGTAGCACGAATGAGTCGGCTCGACCGGGGAAGGATCACGCTCTCACAGAAAACCAGCGTAAAATAGCAGCTTAACGCTGCTGTGTTTCATATGGTGAGTGTAGAGAACCGGAGACCGAGTCGATACTCAAACATAATGTTAATACCTGTTTAAAAAAATTATATTTGAAAAAGAACTACCGCAAGATATTGTAAAATACTTCAAAATTATTGATGTAAAGAAAACCGCAGATTTGTGGGGAATCTCCGTTACAGTTATTGCGTCCATAATAGATTTAATTGCACCTCATCTTGCCATTATTTTTAATACTTGAATCGATTCTGGTGTGTTTCCTGATTTAATAAAGTATAGTAAAGTAATACCTTTATTTAAATCTGGTAGTACATTGGACCCTGCTAATTTTAGACCTATTTCCGTACTACCAACTATCAGTAAAATTTTTGAAAACTAATTTTGGATCAATTGTTAATTTTTTTTAATGCAAATAAATTACTTCATAAAGGCCAATTTGGTTTTACAAGGTGTCGCTCGACGTCTGACGCCGATGTTGAGCTTATGAAATATATTTTTAATGCTTGGAAGAATTCACAGGATGCTTTGGGTATATTCTGTGACCTAACCAAGGCCGTCGATTGTGTTCACCATGAAACATTAATCAGGAAACTTCACACTACGGTGTAAGAAGTGATGCTCTTAAATTAATTATTGCATATTTAAATAACAGAATGCAAAAAGTTGTCATTAACAGTATGAGCTTTCCTATATAACATTGTAGTCTTTGGTATGAGCTCTTACCAGGTCGATGGTACGAATGGGAGTGCCTCAAGGCTCCATTCTCGGCTTCTTTCTGTTTCTTGTATACATAAATGACTTACCTTACTAGTAGGGGATTAACCATACATAGTATTATTTGCTGATGACACTTCTTTAATTTTCAAATTAAGATGACAATTACTAAAATATGACGAAGTAAATAATGCTATATTTAAATTAGTAAATTGGTCCAATGTTAATAATTTGCATTTAAATGACACCAAAACAAAATATATGAAATTCATGACTCCAAGTGTCAAACAAATACTTATGTAATTTGAAATGGGGAGGAACTGAATCGACGATAGCACCATTTTTCTTGAAATCACACTAGACGCGAAGCTTCAATGAAGCCCCCATTATATCAATACTAGCAAGCAAATTTAGTTCTGCAGCATATGTTATAAAAAAGATTAGAAATCTTACCAGTGTTTGAACAGCTTTACTTTAACTATTTCCATAGCATAATGTCGTATGGTTATTTTGCTATGGGGACACGCGGCTGACACTGAAATTATATTTGTTTTACAGAAGAGGACCATAAGAGCAATTTATGATTTAAATCCTAAAGAGTCATGTAGCTTTGGCCTCTCAATTTATTTACGAAAATGTAATGTACGTACACAAAAATAAAATTCTTCGGGCGATGTATAAGCTTTTACAACAAAATTCCAGAAAACATACAAAATTTGACCTGGTCAAATTTCAAAAACTTTATTAATGTAAGTTTTTATAAAAAGGGTTATTATAATATTAAGGAATTTATGGATAATAATAACCCATGGGTTATTATTATCCATAAATTCGGATAAGTGATCGTTACAAGTAAGGTGATCGTTACAAAGCTATTTCTAATTTGCTTTGTGTGTATATAACATACATGATTATAAGCTGGTTTTCATGCTGGTTCTTACCAGAACAGAGGTTCTTTTTCGAACCAGTGGTAATAACACAAAAGAGTTACTTTTAATAAGTATTATTTATAATCTATATTGAATAAAAAAGTTTCTGTTTCTGTTTCAGTGTTTATGTATGTATGTATTTTTAGTCAGTCGTCTATTAATCAGTTTATTTGTCCCAAGGACACATATTTGTCAACAGCTTCCAGCATTGTTTCTAAAATCTACTAATATAAATGTTACTTAGACGTAAGATGTAACTTTGCCTTGTTCATGTGCATCTTAAGTCCTACCCACCCGTAAGCAGCCACTGTTGATAACATAGAGCATGGTGCTAAGGTTCCCCAACGATTCTGTCCTACACATTGTCGACGCTTTTATCTTCACTATATATTTTTCAGTCCAGTAGCTTAAAAACATCTTAAAATCCACCAATGAAATGTACTGTGTTACGTATTCATTCAGATGGTTATTACATAAATTATCCCGACAAACACGATTGAGCTTAGTTTCCTTGCCGACTACGAAATTTTAAGACAGGGTCAGGTCTGGAATACGCGCCGTGACAAATTGTAAGCGCACTACAACGAACCTCAATATACGACTACTTCACAAGATCAGTCACTCAGCAAACGATAGGAAGAGCTATTCTCGGAGTTTCATTGGCGATCAATCTCAAGATCATCATTTAACATACATAATATATTTCCATGTTTGTAAAATAATGTAGCAAGAGGTCTCATCATTCAAGAAACTCATCAGGTCACACCAAAATCAGTTATTGCGTTTTTCAGACAAGAAATTCTCTGTAAGACTGAAGTTAAGAAGTTGGCGTTGTTTCACCCTTGTACCGAAAACATGTGAATCCGTTGGCCCTGCGCCTGATTCTCTCCTATCGGTTTACCATGCCTTCGGACTATAAGAGTGAGAGAATAAAAAACACCTGTACGCTCAATCATTATCGTGGTAGAGTCATGCTGCAGCTATATTATGCTTGTAACACGAATGGGTCGGCTCGACCGGAGGACCACGCTCCCACAGAATACACAGTGCAAAGTAGCAATTCAATGCTGCTGTGTTTCGTATGGTAAAAGTAAAGTTACAGCCTAAATAAGTCCCAATGTTGGGCATGGGCACAGACCTCTCATGTTTGAGAGGGTTTAGGGCAAGGAAATGTCCACTGCGCTGCCCCAATGTGTGTTGGCGAACTTCAAATGTGTTCAAAATATTTCTTTCATATTTCTCAGACATGCAGGTTTCCTCACGATGTTTACTTCACCGCATGTGCTTCGAGCACGTGGTAAATCAGCACTTAAATTGCCATTAATAATTTCATTGGTGCCGACGGGGATCGAACCCGGTGCGGCGTACTGTGAAATTTACAGCGAGCGCTTAACCCCTGAGCTACCACGGTTCACGGCGTTTTCGTATGGTGAATGTAAGAGGACCCGAGACCCTTTTTACTGCATACAAGGCATTCAATGTTAGTCCTTAGGGGTGACAATGCTAAATCGAGGACAAATGTAGATGTCTATGGGTCACAGATACTACCACTTACCATCAGGTGAACTCGTTTGCCACCCTCATTATAGAAAAAAAACTCATGCACTATAATCTGATGGCTCCGTGACGCAGTGGCTTAGCGATGAGTTGCTGCGCTGGGGACCGCGGGTTCGCATCCCACACGGAACAAGTATTTGTATGGCCTACAAATAATTGTTCCGGTTCTAGATGTTTGTCCTTGTGCAATTTGTGTTTGTAAACTGCCTCCACGATACAGGAGAAAACCTAGTGTGGGGGTAACCTTTTTTTTTAAAATCTAATCCTGCACTGCGCAGGTGGCTTCTCCGTTAAGACTGGCCGCCGTGACCGAAATTCGGGAACATTGTCATTATTATGTAGAATGTTATATTATCTTTATATCGCGACGATCTGTGTGACATGAGCAATTGGATAATATATGAAAAGTATCTGTAGTTAGTCAAAAATTCTTGCTAAAACAATTCTTATCTTTATTCTAAATTTTATATGACATATATATGAAATTGAAGTGACATGCAAATTTACAGTCCACATGACTGAAACTACTGCAGCCCAAAGACGCCTGCAACTAACTTTAAACAACGAAGCCTTACAGATTCGCAGTCACCACTGAGTACTAAGATGGAATGCGTATCAGCCTGTAATTATTATAATGGCTCACTATACCATTCCGACCGGTATACAGCCAGAACCTGATTTTCCCACAGGCTAACTAGTCTGGAGCCTAGGGCGCAAGGTTCTCGAGGGAGCGTTGGGCTTGCCTTTGCAA